ATTAAAAACACAAAACGCAAATATAGCATTCGGTGGATGCTTGCTTTCCACGACACTCGCCAAATACGAGGAACATGTTTTTTATAAGCATTATCTTCTGAATTTGGACAAACATAGGGGGAATGCATTATATAAACGATAATTAGGTGAGTTGCAATGCGCGTTCGACGTCTAAAGTAGATGAAAACTGAAAACCGAAAGGTGACAAGGTAGAAGATAGAGCTATAAGAAAGCTACCAAGATTCTTATTCAGTCTGTCGTTGCTGAATATTTGAAAATTCAAAGGCAAGAGTTTGGAGCTATGAGTTCCGCGCTTCGTCAAAGTTTTGGTAAAAGCTACCGGTGAAAGTACGCAGTTCACTTAGGTAAAATTGACATATCTTAGAGATCAAGGCCCAACCACTTTGGTAAATTTTAGTAAGAAAGCTCAAAAGACAAATGGGCTTTTCAAAATATTGCCCCGGGGCCTCGGCATGCTCGCCTTAACGTCTACTCGTCGGGAAAATTTCTTTGATAAGCGTTTCTTGCGGCCAAAGGCAATATTGAGACTGGTCTTGAATTTGAATTTCTTACGTCGAGTGTAGTGCTCGAGATATTCAGAGCCCGTCAAATAATGCCCAGCGTTATCTTAATTTATCCGACCGCTCTGTCCATTTCCTATCTAATTTAGAGAAACTATTTTTGGTTTGGCTAAAAATCTTGTAAAAGTGTACGTCACGACTTTTACGAGCGTAGCGCGATCGTAAACAATGTCACTTCGCTTCATTTATTCTCCCCCACCAACAGAAGCAGGATAAGTGATTCATATTTGTTATCAGATCATTAGACAGAATATGAACAGAAAAGCATTTAAAATTCTATTAAATAGCTTCAATAAAAAAACAAAAGACTATTAATTCTAAAGGACTGAGATCTTTAGAAGGACAGCTTACTCCATCAATAAGTGAAAGTGACGCTCATTTTTTCAAAACGAAGCTTGACAGATTTTAGAAAGCCTATATATTCGTGATCGGTATTAAATCCCGATCCGGGATTGAGGCATTTTGGTCTGTCTGTCTGCCTCCAACGATGAAAGCTCTTGCGCGCAGATTGACATTGAAAAGGTTTAAATTCGCCACGGGACACGCCTACAGTCCATTTGAAACTGAAAATACTTTTGTTTTCTTGATTTTTAATAATTTAGAACACATAAACTGCAACAGATACAGATTGCTAGACAGATAGATAGATAGATAAAATTTTCTACGTACATTCTATTGATGATCTTGCAGTACCCGCATCAAAATGGGAAAAGTCGACAACATCTGTTTAATATTATGGTACATTGTTTTATTTTTCTTCTTCTATTTTTTTTTTTTTTTTTAAATAAAGGTCGTGGATATGAAGATTCGGTCATGGCCGAAAGTAAGCGTCTTACCTATCCTGACTATGGCTAGTCATTGCAATCTCACATAAATAAATTATTCTTCATTACATATAAACAAATTAATTTTAATTATATTCATAATAGCTAAGCTAAAAGCTAAAGAATCGTGTCAATTTATGGCTTTATCCGAATCGTTATTGTCTTCATCGCACAAAATATATAATATATACATCGTCCGACGTTGTATGAGGACGAGTACTAGTGTGTATATATACATCCTAAAGAAAGGCAATGAATCACTGGGAGTTGTTATCAAGTATACCTGATGCTCAGCATTAGTGAAAAGAAATTATTTTCGCTTTATATTATAAAACACATCAGTTGTTTATTTTCGTTGCCTTCTAAATAAATACATTTCGAAACTGAACAAAATTTATTTCATTAAAATATTTACATTTTTATATTTGTACTCTAAAATTACTACATCTACGTGTAGATTCCTTGAGATTAGTTATAAAATATTCAAACCGATTCGTATATCTAGAAAGCTGCAGAGCCGATAGGTTTACAGTTTCACTTCATTTACATCGTTTTCAGTATAAGGAGATTTGCAATATCCTCAGCGTTTGTCAAGCAAAAAAAATTCCTTAACGCTATGTAATATGAACTCGCCAAAAGAATTGATATCTCATTGCCAGTCGTTCTCGGCGTATTTATAATATATAAATACAACAGACACCCCTAAATGATATGCATTTTTCACATCATCAAGGTCATCATCAAGTCTGTACAAAACACAACGTAAGTATCAGTTTAGCATAACAAAGTAACAAACAGCGCGAAATGACATTAATTATTACTTATTGGATTTCTCTTAGTTGTAGACTTTTAGTTTTAAATAAAATGAGGCGGCAAGTTTGGCAATCGAGAAACGATCGATTTTTGATCAGTCAACGTGTAATACTCACTCTAGATATGTTTGATGTCTCTGTGTTTTGTTTGCTTCTCGGTGGAGGACATATTTTGACATTGCTTGGCTTCACTATGCTTAGCGTGCCATAAGGCAGCATTTTATTCCAAAACTCTAACTCAACTTTAACTAAGGATTCAGTTATCATCATTCTTCGGCGTGCTAGCGTTATCTGATGTAGAAAATCGAACTGGGTTATATACTTGGCAATCGAATTGGGTTATATGCTTTGCAGTCTATTCGAGATGTCAAGTGGACGTTGCTCTCCTATAAAAAAAGGAGTGCTGGCGATGATCCGTATCCGTATTTGTAAATAACGCGTCTATTTTAGCGATGTGTTTTGTAAAAGACAATAGACAACGTACATGCAGCCATCGAAAGAATCGATTTGCAATGAATAAGAATATCAGAGACGGACACCCCTAAGAGAAGTGAGTTCAGAAGCTTGATAATCGCACAGATAATGTGGTTACAGCAAAAATATAATTCAATTGATGAATTAATTATAAGAGAAATAAGTGTGTGATAGACTGTAAAGAATACATGGTTATTTAATTACCTTGAAGCCGATAAAATAAATAAACGGAAGAATATTATGCCAAGCTTTTGAAAAGTGTGGTAAAACGAAAGCTGGTGAAACTTACGTTAATAATAATTGATTTAATCTATCAAAATTCATCGAAGTGAATGTGAGTTGCGTATTCATCTTTTTTGCATAAATGTATTGAAATTTTTGAATTCTATTTTTTTTTTTAAATCTTTAATGCAGAGTAGTTTTGTCTTTGTTTTTTTTATATTTTTTTTCTGTACTCGTTTTTATAAACAGAGTTAAAAAATTGAATCAAATCCCCCTATAAATCTGTCTAAAATAATTGCGAAGTTGGGACAATTACAATCTTAATAAATATATTCGAAGAACTCCCTTCGTCTTAAGTCAATCTTGCATAAAGGGTCAATTAACGCTAATGTATAATTGTTTCTCGATTGCAATGCTGCTACTTTAAGCTTAAGTTCTATCTATTCATTTGTCCCAATTTCCGCATAGTATTAGTTACAGATAAACGATGGGAATATATTGCAAAATTTCGAATTCCAAATTGGTTTTTTTTTTTTTTAACTTTTTATTTATTGCAACCGAATATTGTTCACTTTCGATAATTTCATTTTTTGCGCTCCATTTTTTAGTAATGGATAGGAAACTGCAAAAATTAAGAAACATAGTATAAAAAGGCTTCAGGACTCTTTCAGGCAATTTTTAATTATTCATGCATATAATGCTTTCATATAATTTATACAGCATTTATGCACGCACAATAAATATATATGTATGTTTATATTGTATGTTGCCTTTGTATTCGGTTTAGTGTTGAATACGAGATACGCACTAAATTGATACGAAATATGTGCTTAATTCTAAGCAGTTGATGACGGGTACACAAGATTCGCCCAAAGGTGAATATAGTATTTTTTGTTTTTTTTTTTTCATTTGTTTATTTATTTACACATCCAAATGCATGCAAACATCCACATGTATTTATATATACATATATATATATATATATAGATGTACATATACATATAGATGTATACGCTAACACAATTATTTCAGAAAAACAAAAACGGAATTATTATCAGTAGTTAGGGTCAAAGTTAATTGATGTATACATCTAGAAACTGACTGACTGATCATAAAAACAAAACAGAAATATATAATTTCCTTTTTGTATTTCAAAGAAATTCGCTCAGAATCACGAATCAATATGACGTGTTAGAGTAATGCTTGCCTGCATATCGTTTTACTATATTGCTTCTGTCTTTCTTCTTATTCTGCGATGCAAGAATGAATATTTTGAAATATTTTGCTAACGCAATTATAAAACTGTTTTCGTTCTTGTAATATTTACAGTTTGTATACAAATCGATAGATGCAAACGTGCATATAGCACATTATTCTTACAACAACAATATAGACTACGATATATTTCTGAATAATTTTTGGAACATTTAGAAGAAAAAAGTCTCTTACGAATGATTTAAAGAAACATACACGCTTACTATCTAGACCATCTCATAACGACTTTGATAATCGTGCCAGTCTGGTGTCTTGCGTACAGCCCACGGCCCATAGTTTCGTCACTCCCCATTAGATGAGATCATCATTTAAACATATAGTCAATTAAAAATAATTGCGTGTTTCAACTGTACGTCGTGTGTTGACGTCGAGAGTAATATTTAAAACTAGAAATGTCTTGAAAAGCATTGCGAGATTCATCTTCTTCAAAAATGACTACTTACGAGATGTAACAATCAACCTACGAAGCGCTTGAAGTAGGACGAAAGCAAATGGAAGCGATAACTTTTTCTTCGGTCGTGTAACGTAATATTAGTAGTTTGGAGTTCCAAATAACGCCGGATAAACTTCTGCTGTGAAGTAAACCTGAGAAGAGAATTAGTTGCCAATCACCCCACAGTTATTATTATTATTATTGTAGTGTACGAAATTATTGTATTGCCTAAACAAACAATTAGTGCAGATATTCGCTTTGTAGAAATTTTTAAATTGTGGTTTTCAAGTGATTGCGAAAACAAATTTATCAGTTCAATTACGCAATTTTTCTTCATTGAACTTATGCTTGTTTTGCGACTTTCAAGTTTTCCTGAAAATGCTAAAGCGTTTGATTAGCAATTTCCTTTATTTTAAGCAAAGTTACGTACAGAAGCGAAGTGATTGATTGAAAAATGTTGATGGAGTCATTCCTGAAACCTGTTACCATGAAAGCTGAAATTATTTAAACAGACAAATTTTGCAATCACGAAATCCTAGTTTGCGCCAAAAAATACGTAAAACTTCATAAAAGTTCATAATGGCAATGCTGGCAAAAACATATGATATTCGAGAGATGAATATTATCATTAATTAAAGTTTACGCAAAAGTGCGGTATTAAAATTTCAAAGCGAGGAGGCTGCATTGCAATGTTGATTAGTGTGTAGCTATTTTATTTAATATCCAAAATTTAAAATTCAGTACCTGAAATAAACTGCAAGTAAGAACTTAATATAAGAATTGTCTCAGATTTCTTATTTGATAATTTTATGTTGATGTGAAAGGAAAGTGACTAACGTATTTTATTATGTATATAAAGTATTTTTGACCTTTGCCTTAAGAATTAATAAATGAAAGTACTGAATCTGTCTTTGCATATAAATGTTTGATTACTTAAGAAAATGAAAATCATGTTAAGTAACAAATTATCCTTATGTGTTGCACAGACTGTAAGCCGTCGTTAGTATAAAGGGTCCCAGTGATCTATAAAAAGTAAACTTAAGATTGAGCATTTTATCTTTACTTCTGTTGAAAAAGGGTGGACCATTTTGCAACATGAACGCCAGTGGTAATACTTTAAGTACATGTTCTGACACCAAAGGGTCAAGATATCGACATATTGGTGATTTAACTGGAGAACCTCCTACAAGAGAGGTAAATTTTTGTTTCATATATTTTTCTATATTTTTACACTTCCTTTTTTTACCCAATTTATTTCTTAAGTATAATCGTAGAAAAAAAAAATTTTTATATCAGATCATATAAAAAGATAGATTAAAATTATTGGCTTTTCCAGTCATTAGTCGATAAGCTAACTCCTTTTGCGTATACCTTAAAGTAACTTTTAATTTTATCTACTTTCAGTTTACTGAGATATCAATACCGGTGCCTTGGGGATATTTGGTTGGTAAATGGTACGGCCCTCAAGAAATACAGCCCATATTGGGCTTACATGGTTGGCAAGATAACGCTGGTAGTTTTGATTTATTAGTGCCCTTATTACCGCCACATGTGGCTTTTCTCTCTGTGGATTTGCCAGGCCATGGTCTTTCTTCTCGTTTACCAGATGGCTGTTATTACAATTCGATTGACAATATATACTTGATACGTGTTATTATGAAGAAATATAAATGGGAGAAATTATACATGATTGGCCATTCTATGAGCTCAATTATTGGTTTCGTATTTGCTGCTCTTTATCCTAATGAAATGGGCATGTTAATCGGTCTTGATGCTTTAAAGCCACATCAAAGAGCGCCTCATAAAATGTTGAGATCCTTAGAGACGCGAATGATTGGTTTTATAGAAGAAGATGAACGTAATCGTAGTAAAGATGAACCGCCGGCTTACACATACAATGAACTAATTGAACGCGTTCACTTTGGCTCCTTTCAGTCTTTAAATCAAGACGTTTGCAAGTTTATGATGGCACGTAACATACAAAAGTCATTGAAATATCCGGATAAATATTATTTTACACGTGACCGACGTTTAAAATTTTATAATTATACAATCGGTTCCCAAGAACTTTGCAATGAAATGGCCAAACGTATTACTTGCCCATATTTATTCATCAAAGGTCGTCAATCTATATATTTCGAGGATAAAAAATATTATGATGAGACTATAAATGTATTGAGAGCTAAAAAGAATTTCGAGTACTTTGAATGTGATGGTACTCATCATTTGCATATGAATAATCCAGAAAATATTATTGATCCTATAGTTGATTTCATTGAAAAGTATGGCCCTCGGCAACGAGTGGAAATTAAGGAACGTCACATTGCAATCATTGAAAAACAAAGTAAACTTTAAAAAAATCTTGTCAATTGATGTACTTAAGAGTATTTTTAGATTTGTTAGGTTATTGATATTTTTTACGCTATTTATGGGCAGAGGAGGTTATTCTAGCTTAATCATTCCATTTGTAATATCAACTAGTATACATTCGAACATGGTGATTTAGAAGTCTCAAAATAAAGGTTGCGTCCGTTCACAAAAAAAGTGAAACAACTAAGAAAGAATCTAATATTTGTATATATTCGTAATAAATCACAATCTAGAGAAGATAGGATTCCGGTCAATGAGTTGGCACGTCTAAAACCTCAAAATTAGTTTGTGTTTAGGTTATGAAAGCATCCACCATAAGCTTTTCATCTGTGTTACGGTGAATGTACCTAATAAAGATGTAATGTATGTACGTACAAATCTACAAGTCATAAATGAATATTTGACTTGCCAACACTTTGTCACCCTTTTTTTTTTTACTTTTAGTTTTATAGAATTAATCGATTTGGTAAATAAAGCATACATACTTATGTTTCTGTATTCTACCTAATGGTGCGGCGCTTACTTCAATTTAATTTTAAAGTCTCTAGAAGAAGTTTGTCATTAATAGGATAATGTAAAATAATTCGATATGAGATAACCAGTGCATTAATTAATTAATATTTAATTTATTAAATTATGCCCCTACTTATTCATCGAAGTATGCGAAAATTTCACAAGTTGACGTGATTATTAAATGCTTATTGTATTGATTACTGTATAAAATTAGAATGCATTGTAAAAGTATGTATACAAATAAGTTAATATTATTTTTAATTTATTTTATTTATAGTAAAAAAAAGTATTGTTAAAAGAGAGTTTTTTATATGTTCCATTGCAACTAGTCGTGTAAAAGTAGAGCATACATTTAGTGCTACATTTGATGTAAGCCAAAAATAAATTTGAACACTTTCAAGTTGCACGCCTTTAAATGATTTTATAACATCGCTAAAACGTGGGGCCAACCTTTTTTCTCATTGTTCCTTCACATTTGCTTTCATATCATTTTGATATTGATTGATTGAACACAATTGGGCTAGGGAACGTGAGCCAATTCGTAAACTTAGTAAATAAGACAATCTTTCCAAAGGTTTGTAATTTTCGATTCTGTTGTTTTCCATTATAACACTTCTTTAAAAATTTGTAAAATATAAGAGAAAGAGTGACAATCTCTTCTGTCTCTGAACTAAAAAGCTGCCAATCCAAACAAATACAATTTTGATCAAGTTAAAGATCGCTTGCCCTTATATGAATAGATATGTGAATGTAAATTCATATAGGAAAATTCATTAATTTACAGTAAGTCTTCGAATATATTACATTTCCATATGCACGAAGAATATATAATTTCATTCATAACACGCACACATATATGTAAACAATACATAGAATAGAAAGTATGCATGGTCTATAGGAAAAAAGAAAGCATATTGAATCCAAATCTGTTTTGAGCAACGAAAAGTTTCTTTCAAATTCAAAATACGTTTACTGCCGTCACTATGATCTAATTTTATTATGTTAGGCTTAAAATGGTCCTTGTACCGAAAATTCTGGAGTATTTGAAAACTCATCTTATATTTACACTTATGTTTAATAAAGTTCGGTTGTTCAAAATTCATTCATTTCATTACTAGATAAATTAATCGAGAACCAAGAAGAGTAAAATTGAACAGCAAAACAAATTAAGCCGTTTAAATATATAAGAAAACGAAAGAATTTTCGGTGGAAGCAAAAAAAAAAAGTAAGAAAATTTATATTCGGCTGGGGACGAACCTCGCATATTCGCCATCATTTATATCCTTAGTAGCCCCTGTTTTTATTTATTAATGCCATGAAAAAGTGGATGGGAGAAAAATTTATCTCTCACCTTTTAGTTCACGGAAAGGTTTAATTATTAAGAAAAATCAATCTATCATGGCGTGATGATTAATTTAGAATTAACACACTTAGCATGTCGTCTTCTACTCTCCAAGTTCTTTTATTTGATACCCATATCGATGAGATTATTGGGAAAAAATTAATCCACCACCAGGTCGTGGTGTCCAACAAATTTATTTTAGAATTAACGCATTTCTAGATGGATAACATGTCTTCAATTCAGGAATGTACAAAATAAATTTAAACAATCTGTCTTGTTCACCTCCCCAAGTATAAAACTTCAAAAAAACTTGAAGAAAATTTAATCACTTATAACTTTGTATAGATATGACCGATTGTTTATCATTTTTGCATAAAAATAGTAGAGTTTAAGAGAGAGAGTGTGTAAAGTAAATGTAGGAAATCAATCTTTCATAAGTTGTGAGTAATGAGCGAAAATCCGCAAATTTTTGCTTAGAGGAACAAAGTTGCATTCACTTTACGCTTCGCCGTGTGGTTGTGCTCCGGCCCATTTATCCCATTTTCAATATTACTAACCTGCGTGCCGAAACTCCCAATGTTTTATCAAATTTGAAGTTGATAGATTCATTTTTACGGCCAGGAGAATGTTTACAACAGACATTGCACAGACGGACTGACGGTTAGACGGACAGACAAACATGCTTAAATCGATTCAAAATTTGCTGCTGATCATGAATATATATGCTTTTTGATATCTCTGCAGTCTCCTTCTGGGCTTTGTAAAGGTTTTGACAAACTGAATATATCCCTCATCCTTCGCTGATGGACAAAAAAATATTAGGTGGCTTCAGTTTTTTTGTCAATTTCCTTTTCCAATTGCTGAACATGTTCATTATGTTCATTTAGTCGTCTCATTCGAGAGTTTAATTGCGGACCGTTCAAGTCTGACACAATGTATTGGGCTGCTCTTTATACTGGGTCAATGGTTGTTCCATAGTCCGCGAATGCTGTATCCGTCACTCTTATGTGAACAGCGTTTGTTTCAAGATTTCGATTCGATTATTTTTGTTGGTGTTACTCTCATCTGAAAGTTGACGTACGTGAATCTGCGCCAACTTCAATTCACTACACTTTTCTTTATTATTCATTATTTCAATCCCTTAAATTTCTATCTTTGACATCCGATTGCGTAGAATGTTGGCTTATTTTATTTTATTCATTTATCTACTGACACATGAAACTCAACTAAAACCAATGAACAGTCGAAGTCAAGCGACTCTTAGAAGTAAATCTTATACTAATTAATATTAAAAATTACCATAAAGTATATAGGGAGGAATAAGGAAAAAAATAATAATTATTAAATAATAATTTTTGTAGAAATAAATGAAAAAAAAAAAAGGAGGAAAGAAAGAAAGCATGCACACACCTAGCACAGAGGCATACTCACAACCAGTGCAGAAGCGAATTGCAAATGAACCCTTAAGCCATCGCCAACATGCAAAAGCTTGGCAACCGATGCAGTAAACAACAATTAATTTTCGAATTAAGGTTAAAAGTTAGTTTAAATACGACATAGAAAGATCGCGCGTATTAAGCAAAGTTGTTTTGATAGACTCCCAAGAATTGAAGAATCCGGTATTGAGATTAAGTGATAGACATTTAGGTCTCTGCAAAGAACTCTAAACGGGTTAAACAGCTCATAATTATATTTACACTGACTCGACTTAATGGACATAAAACGCCAAGAGAAGCGGTCATGGACATTAAAGCTTATCTCACTAAGTAATGCGAACGAATCGATAGTACCATTAATTAACTTAATTAAGAAGGAGACATCAAAAATAAATCTACATTGCTCAAGTCACTGTAAAAATAACAGAAGCAACCAATTTTCATAAGGAGGCAAAGAGACAAACGGATCCCAATTTAAATTTCGAAGGGCAAACAGCAAGAATTGCTTTCGAATTGACTCAACTGAATCTAAATAACACATATAGGCGGGAGACCACACAACCGAGGCATACTCACGTATTGATATAATTAAGCAAATGTATAGCTATTAATGAAACCAAGCGCGGACCTAGCTTCACTTAGAGAGAGTTCAATGCGCAATTTAAAACGTAATCTTTGGTCGAATAGAACCCTTAAAACGATGAAAGAATCAACGTTGTCCACCTTGTGTGGGTCAGTACTGAATAACTTCGTTCTTAAGAAAGAAAGCTTCAAGCATTTGTTTAGGTTCAATATTATAAAATTTAACGACCTCCCTCTAACCAAATTATTTAAGTCAGTTTGAAGCTGATACGATTGCGATCGCAAAGGGAAGGAGGAAAACAGTTTAACATCGTCAGCGTACATTAAGATTTATCTGGATTTAATCATCGAGGGAATATCATTAACGTACAATTTAAGGAAAAGAGGGTCCATACGAGCGATATATGGCGATTTTTCTTTTTAAGTTGACAAACGTAAAAAAATATCTAGGATTAACAAGTAGTCAGGATTTTATACAATAATATTGGGTTGGTTGGGGCAATTAAATCTATTCCCAGATGCAGATTCAGTGCCACTTACAGAACTCCTACTCTTTTAATATGTAATTGTGTTGTTAAACCATCGAGGGCGTGGTTGCTTGGTCGGAACGGACGAAGAAATAGCTGGGTTCAATATGTTATAGAACGAACTTCTTTTTTTAGGATTCACTTGACTTTTTCTGTTGTATCTACCGGGGTCTGCTATAGTCAGCATCATCAGTATACGTACACAACCTTGTTCAAAGCATAGGAAAATTTCGGCAAATATCATTCGTTGTTGTTTTCCCAAGCGGACGTGTATTAACCATCTAAAGTTTTGCACATTAATTTTTGTGGTGAATCCCCGTCCAATCAAGGGATTAAGTCCACCCATTGTTGCTCACAATCAATTTGATATATTCCAAGTTGGCGATAGGAAAGAGAAAGGAAAAAAAAAACAAATATTATTTACTGGTATGATTTTTGTGATATAATGTAGTATTATCGATCAGTCGAACTCTACCGTAGTCTACAAGTTATTGCTAAGTATACAATTTCCTACTAACCTAGTTAAGGTAGTGGAATTTTAGTAATAAGCAATTCATATATTAGTAGTAAGCTATAACCTACTTTTAATTATACTATTCGCTTAAGTTAGCATTAATTTATTAGTTATATAAGACACCTGAGCATACCTCAGTAAAGTCAGAATATAAGTATAAACGTTAATAAAGACTTTAAATTAATAAAGACTCAAACGAACCTTTAAATATTGAGTGGTATCACTACAATAAATCGGAACACGTGAAGTCTGTTATTGAAACTTTTGCGATTGCCATAGTTGAGATATATAAAGAAAACGAGCTCCGACTTAACACGCGTATCGATCTGACAATGTTATCGATTAGAATTGCTCGAAACCGATGGCATCCTCGCAACTCGCTATATAAAAAGCTCACTTGCTTAGTGTTCCAAAGTCAGGGCTCAAGTTAAAATGTTCTTGTCATATCCATAACAGAACGGTGAAGTCATACTTTCTACCTGCAATATCCAAAAATATGCATACATATGCCAGATCAGAAAGCATACTTTGCTCAACATACTTAAGACAGAAGATTAAAATCCGATTTTTATTTAAAATACCTTTTGACACCTTTGGGGACTTTTCCTGTGTGACTTTACAAATCTAAAGAAAAATGCTTAGTTCTTAATAGCAAAAAGTGTAACAATACACGATTTGTGGAGGGCATTAATAGAATTCGGCGAAAGTACATTCTATGAATATTTATGAGGGTTAATTGATCGGCTAATCCATCCGCAATAATAAAAGTATTTTATGATTTGTATGTGTATTAGCGTAACATTGTGTGTGTGTGCGTATGTCAACAATTCGGTAGAGAAACATATATATAACAACATAAAGCAGAATATATTGCTTGGCGCTGATCGGATCACATATTTACATACAAGTCTGGCAAGCCTACTTCTATCCTATTCTTTTACCTCCCCGAGCTGGAAAACAAATTTGAAAAATCGAAAATGATGTAGTGATGAGTAATATAATCATTCATGGATTGATAATTAAATTGACGTTTTCATTACTGTTTACTGT